CCATGTTAGCTGATTTAAGGCCAAATCTAGCCTTTTTTGATCTGATCTAGCTGATGAATTATTTGATCTAGCTCCTGGCCTTTTTCCTAGCTATTTATCATTTTTAACTAGCTTATTTCTGGCTTTTTTTTTTTTATACTTTTTACTAGATTTTATTTACTATATTATTATACTACTACGTCTACAACTATTATAGTATAATATCCTAACCCGTGTGTTAAAAACTGGTTGTGATTCGAACAATAAAAATAAGTACCTGGATCTATTGTATCCATTGTATATAGGTGAACAAATAACAGTAATGCCATTAACACAGTCCACAGATCATGTAAGGTCCTAGTAGACTCGCTTAAATGGACTTGTTTTATTTTATCTGTGCCATTAAGATAAAGAGTATAAGACTAGAGAATATGTAGTATTCTAACGCTATTAAATATGTTACCATATTATAGTATAGAACTCTAGTACTATAGTAGGTACATGTAAAATATAAGAATATAAAAATATAAATAATTGTTGGAAAACTGGTATTTTATATTTTCCTAATAAATTGACAAGAAAAATTATTTCTTGAATTGCAGTTTAGTACTCAACAAATCATTGAGTTATCATTTAAGTATTATATCCAAATTGTTTGAGATTAACAAATTACAAATATTACAAATATTACAAGATTATTTTGTTACTGATTTTTGTATATAAATAATTATATTTTGTTTTATATATAAAATACAACTTAAAATATTTCACGTAAGTGACATGACATGTTCACACATTAGTGTACATTCTTATTAGAAATTTATTTAATTTTCTTTTTAGTATGGGAAAACCGCAATATTCTCAAAAATTTCGACAAGCCTGGCTACAAGACAAATTATTTAAAGAGTGGCTTCAAGAATACGTAAAAGATTCAACAAAAGCATTTTGTAAAACTTGTTGTGTAACTATCCGAGCAAAGCGATGTGATTTGGTGAATCACGGAGAAAGCCAAAAACATAAATCGTCAGTAGGAGCCATCAATATTCATCAACAAAACAGTATTAAATTTAAACCAATAAGCTTAGAAACAAATCGATCCGAAGCTGCCTTATCGCTTTTTGTGAGTAATCATTGTGCAATATTACCAATTGATCATCTCGGTGAATTGTGCAATACACACTTTCCTCATAATAACATAAGAATTCGTAGAACCAAATGTTCTAGAATTATTATTAATGTCTTAGCACCCTATTTTATGTCTAATTTGAAAGAAGACATTGGTGATATGTACAGTTTGCTGATCGATGAGTCTACCGATATTGCTGTTCTTAAATATCTTGGAATAGCCATTATGTATTTAAGTAAAAGTCAAAACAAAATAATTACTACTTTTTTATCTCTTGAAGAACTTGTCGAATGTAATGCAATGTCAATTGTAACAGCTATAAAAACTTGTTTAAAAAAATTTGATTTGGATATTAAAAATATGGTTGGGTTAGGTTCTGATAATGCAAGCGTGATGGTTGGCATTAATAACGGTGTATTTAAAATGTTAAAGGAAGACAATCCTAATTTGATTTTAATCAGATGTGTTTGTCACTCATTACAATTGGCAACTTCCCAAGCTTGTGCTCATACTATCCCAAGACATTTGGATTTTTTGATATCTGAAACATATAATTGGTTTTCTAAGTCAACACTACGACAACACTCATATAAAGAAATTTTCAAAACTATTAATGATGGACATGACCCCCTCAAAATAGTTCAGTCCTCAAATACTCGTTGGTTGTCAGTCGAAACCGCAGTAGTTCGCATCGTTGATCAATGGCACGAACTCAAGACTCATTTCGGTATCTCTAGACAAAAAGATAGATGTTATACAGCTGAAATGTTGTATTCAATATACACTGATGATAAAAATCTAGCATATTTGCTATTCTTGAGACCATTGCTGGGGGAAATTCAGAGAGTAAATAAACTATTTGAATCAGAATATGTTGATTCAACAAAACTGGCCAAAGATTTAGTTGCATTAATAACTTCATTTATGAAATTAATAGTTGTTCCTACATATACATATAATCCTGCCAAATCATTAGATTTCACTTCCCACTTAAATCCCAAACCTTATTTAGGTTATGGATTTGAAAATCAAATAAATGAACTTAAAAAATAAAAAAAAATATCAGAAGGCGAAGAAAGGGAATTGAGAGACAGATGTATTGCTTTTGTAACTTATATTATAAAACAATTTCAGCAAAGACTACCCGATAATATAAGCATGTTGGAAAAAATTGAAATACTATCTCCAAGTAATACATTGAAACAAATAAAAGATAATATAAGTCCAATATGTGAGTTTTTTGGATTTAAAAATAAAGAAATTGAAAAAATTGATCTACAGTGGCGAAACATTAATTTATTAAACTGGAAGAATACTAATTCAGCTGTAGAGTTTTGGAGTGAAGTGTATTCATTTCAAGACTCTGCAAGTCATAATCCATTTAAAGAATTAGCCAACTTGGCACTTACTGTATTATGTATACCTTGGTCCAATGCAGCTTGCGAACGAGTGTTCAGCCAAATGAATTTGATAAAAACAAAGTTGAGGAACAAAATGAAATCCCCAATGCTAATAAGTTTACTTCATATAAGATCTGGGTTGAAGAGGAATAAAAAGTGTTGTCACAATTTTGTATTACCAGATACCGTTATCAAAAAAATTGGTACAAATGATGTATATAATGTTGAAACTGAGTTAAATGACAATGATGATGATAATATTATAAGTTTTGCAGACTTTCAAATTTAATTAAAAATATTATATTATTATAAATTATAAGCTTTCAAAATAATTTTTTTTTTTTTCATTATATTATTACATTATTACATATTTTTGATTTGTTTATTTATTTAAATAATTTTTTGCTAATATATATTCTACCAAACTTCAAAACTTTATTATTAATATTATTTATCATGGTTTTTACTTATCAATTATCATGAAATCTTGAATTTTGTTATTTAGCCGAATTCTGGCCTTTTTTTATTGTACTGTTGGCTTTTTTCCAAAATAATATGTGGCAACACTGCACACATCTCATCTGTCATCAGTACTTATTATCTGAACAGTAAAACAGCCAGCACGCCTACTGCCAACCTCCGTCTGCAGCCAGCGTTCAGCAAGCTCCTCCAAAAAGTCGTTTTCGCCGCTTTCAACAGGGCAAAAGCGCCCACGGCTCTAACCCGAACCATTCACTCAACAGTCGTTTTCACTGCTTTCAACAGCAGGAGCGCCCACAAGGTTAGGTTAGTTTAGGTTATCTACTCCCTACCAAACTTACAACCCAGTTCCTTGTCTGCCAAATCCTCCGGCGAGCGGGTAACCTTGCTGGCTGCTGATGCGACCCAGTTCCGCCTGCTACAAAGCACCTTCCTTAAACACGGCACTGAATTCCGCGCTTTTGACCTCCCCGAGGAAAGCTCCATAAAGGTTGTTCTGAAAGGTATTCCAAATGACATTTCTACCGAAGAACTACGAGTCGAACTAGAATCGCTGGGCTACACTGTCAAACATACCCGCCGCATCGGTACCCCAAAGAAACCATTGCCAATATGCGTCGTGCACATCGCAGACAATCCAACTGCCGAAGACATATTTGTTCTTAACAACTTATTTTATTTACAAATCTCGGTTGAACCACTTAAACCCTCCGGCCCAGCCCAGCAGTGTTGCTAGACGTACGGTTTGTACCGTACTTATACGGTTATTTTAACTTCCGTAGGGTGTACGGTACAAACATTAGAACCGTACTAAAATATACGGTATTGGATGGTGATCTTACCGGGTTTTTTTTTAAAATAGATGATTCCTAAAATAACATTTATTGTGATATTTCAATAGACACTATATTTAGCTGTCTACACGGAAAAAAATAATTTTACTATAGTAATAAGTTAGTAAAATTGCAGTTGATACAACTTTTTATATTGTCATACTAATAATACTTTTAGGTTCTACGTACTAAATTATAATTGTTGTAATATTTAGATTGCACTGCACTATATTTTAGTTAGTTGAACTATTCAACATTAGTTGATAAGTTATTGACTATCATAAATGGTTGGCATACAAATATAAAATAGTAATAACATCTAGATAACACATTACTAAAATTTAAATTTGTATTAACAAATATTATAGTTGGTACAACTATGTACTATAATTAGTCCAATTGAAGGAACTGTCATTCTAATGTTTTGATAATATTGTTTTACTATTTGATGTTATTTGCCTCAATCATCATTCATCGTTCCAAAAGTAAAACTTGCAGGTCACGCGAAGTATTATTATAGTTACAGTAACATTATCGCTTGTTCTTGAATTCCTGATATTAATGTTATGGACAGTTTTGTCTTAAAAACTCTAACGAGTTTAAACGTTAGCGAAATCGTTATTGAGCGTTTTAGAGGTAAGTAATTTAGATAAAATGTGCATGCTTTAACCTGTCGTCGAAATCGTTATTTTTACCTTGTTAGGTATTAATTAGAGAACTATTGGAAATCAATTTATTTCACCATGGTCATTAACATAGATCTAATATATTAGTTTTACAACATAGTTTATAGGTCTATGTTTGTGGTCATATGTTTGTCGCCCCATGCGAGGTTGCAGCGCTTCATGTGAGAAAAATAGTGTTGTAAACATAGATATATAAAACAACTAGATAGCCGACTCAACGCCAAAAATTGAAGTCTGGCATCCATATGCGAACTGGGCAAAATACGATTGATTAATCCATGACATTATATAATTTTCCATGAAATATAATTTATCTATGATTGAAACATGATAATATGGTATGATGAAAATATGATTGCTACTTCGTTACAAATTTGAAATTACAATTTACAAGTTTAAAACCATAAAACTTACCAACAGATATATAATAATACTGTTTTATATATATTATGTGATCTTGCTATATGCATTGAATCAAAATTGTTCGTTTACAAACATGGTGGTTTCTTGTTCTGTGTCTGGTTGTGTCAATAGAAGACAGAAAGGAAGCAATGTTCATTTTTTTTCGTAAGTTATACATTGTTATATCTTATGTAAACTAATTATTAATTATTTTCCGTATTAGGTAGTTAGGTAAATAAAAACTATAATAAAATTGTTCCTACTTTTTAGATTTCCATTAAAAAATCCAGAAAGGAATCAACTGTGGATTACTGCTATACGTCGGAAAGGGTTTGTTCCTACCAAAAATAGTTGCATTTGTAGTGAACACTTTGTACAGTCTGACTATGACTTAAAACCAGGAGGTAGTTATAAATTATACTTAAAGGAGACGGCTATTCCATCAATGATTCCTGATCCAAAAATTAAGAGCAAAGTCATTCGAATGAGTATTGAAGAAGTTTTGACGTCTGCTGAAGACGCAGATTTATCTGTGGCTGAAGACCATGATCAAAAATTAGATAGAGAAAATACATCAGAGCTTATTGATAATACTCAAATTTTACCAGATTCCCAAGATCGGGAAACAGTGTTAGACAAAGTCTTAGGTGAAACTCTATACACACCTAATCAGTGGATACCATTTACAAAAACTTGTGTCATTATAGGTACTCATAATACCAATACCATTTTGTCTATGATTTAAACCATGGCGCGAGTTACTAGTTTACAACCATAGATATATAAAACAACTAGATAGCCGACTCTGTGATAAAGTCTCATAAGACCTATGAAGCCTGGCAGCCATATGCGAACAGGGCAAAATACGATTGATTGATCCATGAAATATTTAATTACTCCATGATTTTTTAAAAACTGCGAAAATTTGATTTCTGAATCAGTCAGATTAAGAGGACGTTGCACGGATATTTGTTTTTTCCGACTTACAAGTGCGTACATCGCACATTTTACGCTCAGCCGATTACTGATTAAGTAGTTTTTGAGTTTATCCATTATACACAAACAAATCTTTTCTCGTTATAATAATAAAATAAAGAATAATTTCAAATCACGGAATACCATAAGGTACTGTATTGGGTCCTCTTTTTCATTGTGTTAATTAATGACTTATTGAGTATTAATTGTAATGAATCAATTTTCAGTTTTACTGATGACACGTCAATTATTATGGATGACATAAAGAAAAATAGTATTCATAATAAATCTACTCGTGTATTAAGTATTGTCAAAATATGGTTTGACAATAACCTCCTGGAACTTAATTTAACCTAAACTTGCTTTATAAACCTTAGTATAAATAAATCTTCACCCATTGGTTATAAATTTATAATTATCTCAAGCCTCATCAAAAAAACTGTAATGAATTTAATATAAATACAGTGATTTCTATTAGTAATGACAGTAGATGTAATTGCACTACTATATTTTATCTAGTTCAAAAAGTAAAATATCTAGTTATTACTATAGCTGATACTAACTTAAAATGACAAAATCATATTATTAATACAACTAGAAAGATCAGATTATTATTCTATAAATTTAAAACTCTTATCAACATACTTCCACCCACCACAATGAGACCTACTTATAATTTATATAAGTATAAATACTATAATATTATAAAGCATAGGTATTATACACATAATCAACACAACAATAGTTAACAATTAGTATATATTTCTTCATAACACTTTTATGAATACAATTATTTTATTGGTTGGAGAATAATATTAATTTGGATAATTTATGTCTCTTAATGACAGGGTTTAAAATATCTGTTGAATACATTTTTCCAAATGATTTTAATCTGAGTCTTACAAATTTTTTTGTTATATGTGTTATAAGAACTAGTTTATGTGGTCTTTCTAATAAAGATACATTATCACAATTTAAATCTGAAAAAATTTTGCTGTCTAAAGAATACATATTAACATTATGGCAAATTATCTTAATATCAAGATTAGGTATATGTAAAGATTTAAAATTATCAGTTAAAAACAAAAACATTTTGTCAGCCTCTTGGATTATTTTGAAAACTGAATCGGATGCTGAAATTAATCCACCTTGATTTTTTAGATTTACAAATTTCGAAAAAGATACAGATTTGCAATAGTCATGTTCATTGTTTTGTGATAAAAGAGCCATTTTACAAGAGTTGCAGTCTAAAATCAATTTTCTTATTATATATCCAGCAATATAGTACAATATATTATTCTTAACATCCTGTTCATGGCTTCTTACTTGACTTGAATGTGTATGAATGTTCATAAGTTGCATATTTCTTTGGGCGTCCATCTCAAATTCATTAATAATTGTTTCATCGTTGTCAAGATTACAAATCTTTTCTTTATTTGATGCCTTTCTCCATTTAATTTCAAAGAGTGATCCAATTGGATCATCATCAAATGTATTGCAGTTGAAATTGGATTTACATTTTAAAGAATTTTTCATTAATATCTGTTTGATAGCAGTTTTGAACTGTGAAGCATTTGGGTTATTGTTAGATCCAAAACGTTGACGAACACGTCCAAATAGTAGTTCAATATAATCTTGCGAAAATTTGTAGGTCAAAATGTAATTAATTTTTTGATTTTGAGAAAATATGTTTTTTGCTAGTGAAATTACAGACTTAACTGCAAAAGCAAAACCGAGAATAAATGTTTTTTTATTGGATAAAAATAAAGGTGAGTTTTTAGTTTTTAAAGTATACAGATATTCAATTAATGGTACAATAATTTGTTCTAATTGATTAATATTGTTTCTAAAAATTGGAGATTTAAATTTTTTTGAAAATTTACTTTTGGAATTTAAGAAGTCAAAAATCCTATCAATTGTACGACAGTATTTTATTGTTTCAGTTACATTTTCAAAGTTAGGAAATTTAGTTTCTTGTAAGTACTGTAACGTATCTGCCGTGGATGAGCTTAAAGTCTGTGCCGCATACTTTACTTTCATTTTATTATTTTGAAAGTTGATATGTGCATTGCTTAATTTGTTTGCAAGTTTCAATGTTAATTCTTTTTGAACCTCAAAGACATTTTTTATATGGTCCCATTTTATTAAGCCATCTTCTGATTCGATTACATAATTGTTGGCCAATGTATTACGTGCCAATTTCAACATATGGCAAGCATCAGGAATGAAGTACACTCTAGATTTTGTTACAGGATGGTCAAACCAGCATTTAATGTCATCATAACTATTCCCTGCCGAACAGCCAAGTAATTTAAATGTAGAAAAATTAGTGTACGCACCATCGCATGTTACACTGTGTACAGTTAATCCGGCGTTATGAGAGTGAGTCAATGCTGACTTAATTAGTTCTGCTTGGGTAACAGCTGTTAGTTTATTAATAAAAACATATCCTATAGGTAATTTCCAGCGACCATTTATGCTAACTAACATAAAAACTAAAGCCTCAGTGGCTACCATATCAGTACCTTCAACTTCCATACTATTACCATAGTCTGTATTTCCAATCATTTTTCCAAGGCGCTCATCCCATAAAATTTGTTTTCTAATAGACATTGCATCTAGCATAAGGCAGCAGTCTTTATCATCTGAATTCAAAGTTTTGATTGCATCGAATACTTCCTTAAAAAATCCTGGTTCTCCATTAATGCTTGATGTCCAATTACTTATTGATTTTGAGCTAGGAAGTTTCATAAATGACCTAAAAATAATGTATGAAGTATTACAAACATGATATTAAATTAATATTTTCTATACTTATTACATAAAGTGCATGTGAAATAATAATGATATTAAATTTACTTGTTTTCTAATTATATAATATATATACATGCAAGCAGAAAAATAGCTTTGTGATTTTAAAATTATGATAGATGGTAACATGCACTTCAGGCCATTTTTACAAAGTCCCGTAAAGTGTAGGTTATAGCTAACCAACACTTTACTGGGTATTGTAAAAACCAACCTTAATATCATAATTTATTTAAAGCAAACCAAATTACCTGCAGTACTTAAGCGCTTTCGGAGAATAATAATTTAGCGTTATAGCAAACTCTTTAATTACTTTGCTGTAGCGAAAACCAGTAGCTTTCCTACCTTTATTTAAAAGTTCATTTGAAAATAATTCTTTGGATACTCCTTCAAATCTGTCAGCTAAAAGTTGTTCAGATTGATTATCAATTAATCCTTTAGAGCTCATTGAAGCAATTAAACCAACAAGATTTTTGATTTTTTTGTCTTTCCGTCTGATTCCTTGATGTAGATTTTTAATAGTTTTTTTCAAACTCATAGTATTTGGAGAATCTATTTTGGCTACTTTTTTACATTTAGGCGATGGAGAAAATAATGGTCTTTTAACTTTAAATCTGGATGGAGTTGTGAGTATATTTTCTGTATCTAGGCCTACTTTCTTTCCTTGCACTACAAAATTACTTATGTTAGTTTTACTCATAATGAAATCATTTAATACTTTAAATCTAGGATTATTTTTATCCATTTTTAATGATAAAACTTTTCAAATGACAGAATGAAATTAAAAATTTAAATAAAAATTAATGACAAATATTAAACTTATTTATTTATATAATATAATATGTGTGTGTGTGTGTTATATTATACGATTTATATGTCTATTATTAATTACTTAATTGTACGAAAAGTGCGGGAAAATAATACATTAATAATTACCTATTATTACAATTTTAATGAAGTTATGACAAAGATATTTAAAAAAACGGCGGGTAACTCATATCAACTAAATAAAAGAGTGGGGGTAAACCGATCAATATTCCGAATTTCTATCTAAACCGGACCGGTGTCGTGTAGATCAACATGAACCAGAGTCATGAATCAGAATCAAAATAATCGGTACGGTACCGCACACCGGTTTGCTCTAGCGAATTTCTAGTATCACACCAAAATATTTGATATAGATTTATAAAGAAAATGATAAATTGACATTTCGGACTTTTGGTATTAAAAATATAATCACCAGTGGCGTATATAGTGGCAGGGGGTTCAACCCCCCCCCTAAAATGTTTGTTGGTACGGCACTCATACGAATTTATTTAATCAATGTATTAACTAAAACCCAACAGCGCAACACGGGATAAAACAAAAATGAAAATCGCAGGCGAGGCATATAAATAAAAATTGTTGTTCACAATTTATATGAAATATGTATTACTAGGTAATTGAGATAATGCGTGAGTCGTCGATAGTCATAATATTTATACTATCTATAGTAATATTTATCAGTTCGTGGTATCGACTTTAACCATAGACATAATATAGATCACGGACTAAGATATACAGGACTGGAAACGAAGACCTTATCAGTAGTCCGTGAATGTTTCTAAAAGGTACAATGTGTGTACCTAGCGCTATCTATGTACAGAACAATCAGTTGCTTTATATAATATATTACTAATATAATAACTGAACATTTTATATTATTTTTTTCATGCTTTAAAATAATTTTAACTTAGGTAATAGGAATAGGTAATATGGGTAGTTTATAGCAAGGCTGGGCAAGTTAACTACCTTTTTTTTAACTCGTTAAGTTACGTTAATATAGAAACATGTAAGTTAAGTTTAAAGCCTAGGTTAAGAGGACGTGTCACGAAATATTTACGCGTGCAACGACCGAGAGGATGCGCTGTTAGGTGTTTTCACGATCCGCAAGCGCGCGGCGTTTAAGTCACGCCTACTATTCGCAATTCGCAACCGGCCGACGGCGGCGACGACTGCTCGTTCGGGAGCGCTATTTATTTGTCTATGAACGTTCGTTCAGTATGATTCGTATCATTACAAAATTCATTATACGCAGATGCGGCCGTAATATTTTCAATACCCGCGCGTACTTATGAACTACCGATTATAAATTATGATACTGCTTCCCTAAATTTATGTCCCAATATATAGATCGTAGAAACTGTATTATAACATAGCTTGATTTGAAGTTATTGAATTATTACTTATTTAAATATAATACTTATAGTAAAATCTAATAAATGGTAAATACAATAAATATTATATTGTTCAATTAAATTAATATTAATTTTCCGTGTTTTATCTTTTACGTTCAACTGTTAATGTTATATTAAAATATGATAATAAGTAATTACAAATATATTTTTCTAAGGACCGTCGCGATTCAAATATTATAATATCTAGGGTAAAATATATTTGTAATTAATAT